GTTTTCAATATTTCTTCAATGAACGGGCCAAATTTCTTGTAGCAAATGCAAAAGAAAATACAGCAAACAATCTATTGAATACAATAAAAGCAGCACTGTTGGGGAAGTGTTTATGTGTCTACCTCAAAAAATAAACAAATCAATCAATCAATCAATGAAAAGATTGTTAGTAACACAATGATTCAAATAAAGGTGTAAGAAAAGCAAAGATAACCCAAAACCAAAATTAGCAGAAAAGTAACTATGATAAAATAAAAAATAAATGAAATCAAGTCTCAAAATAACTGAATAAAAGATAAATGAAGTAAAGGTTAGGTGTAAAAGAAAACTGTCAAGTCCTTAGTAAAACAATTCAAAAGGAGAAAAAACACCTCAATAAATAAAATAAGAGATGATTACAATTGATCTCACAGAAACTGAAAAGATCACTAGGGGCTACAGTGGACAGCTATATGCTGCAAATTATAAAACCTGGAAGAAAGGGTAATTTTTGATACCTATAACCTACCAAAATTGAACTATGAGGAGGTAGAAAATTTGAGCAAATCAATAAAAGTAGTGTGACTTAATAAGTGATAAAATAATTCCCTTCTAAAATAATAAAAACTGAAAAAGAAAGAAAAGAAAAGAAAAAAATAAAAGTAAACATAGTTCAGGACAGATGGCTTCTTTGTTAAATTTAGCCAAATCTTTTCTTAAAAAGTGCAAACACAAATTTTTCTCCAATGATTGCAGACATGGGTACTTGCAAATGTAATGTAAATGAGCTCAAGATTGTTAGACACCAAAAGCAAAGACACACAAAGGAATAATATTCCAGATGTTGATCTCTGATTGCATAAATTTAAATTCTGAACAAAATGCCAGAAAACCAAATCCAGTAATATATCAAAAATTATAAAATTACAGACAAATGGGATTTATCCCAGTGACATAAGAAGGCTTAAACCAATACAAATCAAATCGGAAATACATCGTAACAACATGACCAAGGACCTCAACCATGTGACCATTTAAATACCAATGAAGGAAATGTGCTTGATAAAATTCAAAATTCTTTCATGAAAAGAACCCTCACAATCTAGATATAAAAAGATCATACTTCAACACAATGTAAGTTACACTGGTGTATGGCAAGCCCATGGTCAAAATTACTCTAACTGTGGGAAAACTGTAATTGCTTTCTCTGAAATCAGGCACAAGACAACAATTCCTACTTCTACCACTCATATTCAGCATAGTATTGGAAGCCTAAGCCAGAGCAATTAAAAAAAGGAAAGAAAGAAAAGAAGAAAGAAAGAAGAAAGAAAGAAAGAAAGAAAGAAAGAAAGAAAGAAAGAAAGAAAGAAAGAAAGAAAGAAAGATAGATTATTCAAATAGGAAAGAATAGGTAAAATTATTCCTACTTGCAGGAGACATGATTTTATACAGGGAAAACACTAGAAAGTCCATAACCAAGCTCTTAGAAACAACAAATATGTTGAATGTTTAGGATACAGAATCGCCATATAAAATTCAATAATGTATTTATATATCAACAAGAAAGCTGTTGAGTATCAAGAAAGAAACTCAGCAATAATTGCTATAAAAATACATTTTATAAAAATAAAATTAACTATGGGTGAATGATACATGATAAGAATAACAAAACACTGATTAAAGAAATTGAGAATACAAAAAAATTTAAAGGTATTTTTTTGATGAAAGGAAAGAATAAATATTGTTGAAATGTTCATACTATACAAAGCAATTTATGGATTCAACATAATTCTCACCATCAAAGTGAGAATTATAAGGCAAACACTTTGAGACATTGGTCTTGAAAAATATTTTTTGGGTGAGAAAAGAAAGGCAGACAACAGGAGAAAAATTTCTCAATCATATCAAACTAAAGAACTTCTTTAAGTCTAAAGTAAAAATCAATAAGTTGAAAACAAATTTTACAAAGGAGAAAAGAAATTGTGAACTGTTCATCCAACAAATGATTAATATTGAGAGTATATAGTGAAATCAACCAGAAAGTAAAAATAGTAATAGCCCGGTTTAAAATATTCAAATAAGGGACTGGGGAGATAGCTCAGTGACATAAAGGCCTTCCTGGCAAACATGAGGTCCTGAGCTCAGTCAAATGGCCTGAAATAATATTTTACAAAATAATATATATACATGGATCAAAGAAAAAATATTTCTCCACATCACTAATCAGAATAATTAACATCACAACCATAATGACTATCATCTCATATCCATTAGAGTGGTTATTTTTCAAAAAATCATAAACATTAAGTGTTAATAATGGGCTGGGGATATAGCTGAACAGGGTAAGTGCCTGCCTGGCAAGTGCAAGGTCCCAAGTTCAATCCCTGGTCAACCAAAAAAAAATGATAATAATAATGAAAATACTGGTGATGATAATGTAGATAAAATGAAAAATCTTACATATTACTCATGCAGATTAAAATTACTACAGCCATTAACCAAAACAGTATAAAAGTTCCTCAAAAGTAAGTAGAATCATCATGTGATTTGCAATCCCACTATTGGGTATTTATGTAAGGAAATGAAATTAGTATGTTAAGGTACATATGTGCATTTATGTTTATTGTATCACTAGTAACAATACCCAACATATAGAGTCAGCATAGGTTTTTATCAAAATATGTACGATTGGGCTGGTGAGATAGCTCAGCAATCTAAAGCACCTGCTTAAGCAAGTTTAGGCAGACCCAGAGACCAGGGTTTGATCCTCAGTGTGCTGTGCCAGCCCTGCCCCCGGGGCGTGCTATGACAGCGACTGAGACTGGGCATGGTGGCTTGTGCCTATAATCACAGTGCTTGAGAGGCTGAAAACAGAAGGATCACTATGAGTCCAATCTGTATAGTAAGACCCTGTATGCCCTGAACCAAATACAATTTTAAAAAAAAGGTTTAAATGCTTAATAACAGAAATGTTAAAAAAAGAATCAGCACACACTCCTATCGAATTACAAACTAAAACAGTATTTTGTAATTTCTACATATTATTTTAAGCCATTTTCCATGTTTTAAAATGTCCTCAGTTCTCTCTCAACACAAATCCAATCTATCTTTCAGAGTTTACTTCCTCCTGTGTAACCATTGTTCCTCCTTGATATTACAAAAGAATTACTCCTTTGGTGATTTATTTATTAGCAACAACTATTTTGTATATCACTGTTCAATTTTTAATGCTCAAATTTTAGTATGGTTCATTAAATATAGGCAAGCTGAAGCCAAAGAAAATGTTCGTTAAGTCTGTTTCACATCCTTTGGATAGTACATTGCTGATGCCCAACCGATATTCTTCAATAAATCAAATTACTCTCACAAGTCTGTTTCTCATGCATTTTACCTATTTTACTTTTTTTTTTTTTTTTGTATTTTAGGAAAGGGCCTACAGAGTGTTCAGGGTCTCACTACTAGATCAGACTCCTAGTGATGCGCCTGTTTACTGCCTCCCAAGAGCTGGGATTACAGGCTGTCATGCCACCAAGCCCAGTCTCAATTGTGTTCTCACCACACCCCAGGGGTGTGGTGACTTTTGACTTTTAGGAACTTGAAGGCATTTTGAATTACCTAGATGTAATATTTCATGTTTTCCTTTGAGTTGTTATTTCATTATTCTACATATTTTTCTCCTCTCCTTAATAGATGAACTTTTTGCCCTACTTCTGTGCATCAATAGATATGGAGCTGAGTAGAACACTTCTTTATCCCTAAGGTGGCTTTATGCAACACAAATGGGTCTAGCTGAAATACTGATGCACGTAGTCTCTAAAGGCAAGCCTTGTGCCTGGCACCTTCAAGTGCTAGAATATTTTATGTACTTCAAATGATATTCTCAGTATGAGAGTAATTCATACCATACATGTTTTCCAATGTGAATTACATTACAAAATTCTTAATTTTATATTTCATTTAAATTAATGAGGAAAACATTCACAATATATTTTTTAAAATGTGTTACTATATGATACTGACAACTATAATTGTAGTTCATAACTAAAATCTCTTGGAAAGATCAAATATTTGATTCTAATGCAACTTTGACTAACAAATTTATTTTAGAAATAAAAGCATTCTTATTTTGGTGTATCAAAAAAAATAATAAACATACAAATAGGGCAATGGGACGGGCCAGTGATACCCTGCCTGTAGCTCCCAAGTGCAGCAAGGTTGAGAGACTTGATTGCCTGTGACAAAGCTAGGCCTGTGCAGCGAAGCCAAGACACTGAGACATCACACTGTTGGCTGAGATTGAGCTCTGATAGAGGACTCTGTGACATCTCAGGGCATGACAACTACATACCAGGACTGAAGCACTCATTCCAAAACACTAGATGCTGCCCTAATCTGTCATAAACAGATTATTCCTTTTGGATCTCTCTCTCTCTCTCTCTCTCTCTCTCTCTCTCTCTCTCTCTCCCTCCCTCCCTCCCTCCCTCCCTCCATATTGCAGAAGTGATTTCAGGCCTCCTAGCTAGCCCACTAACAGTAGGCAAGTACTTCCCACCTTTATTCACTCATCTCTGAACCATTCCCTTAGTCATGAATCAGAACCTGGTTTGGCCCTAGGTGGGAGCCATTGTTGTAGTTGGATTTAGGACCCCTTGGCCCCCAACTATAAATATGCCTTAGTGTCTTTATTCTCGACATGGAAGTGGCAGTTTGGAATTACTTATTGGAATTCCACTAACTTTTCCCTGGGATTACAAATATGGACTCCTCTGGCCCTTAACAGAGTCCAGCAGGGCTTCCTATATTTATTTTTTTTAAACAATTCCACATACCTTGTAGTATATAGTATAGCATTACATACAGAAATGCATAAAGCATTCTTGTTTGCTGAAGAAAAATGATACCCAATTCTTAACACATGTTTTATCTTAAGAAAAATGAAGGCTATAGTGGTAGAAATCAAATCTAAAAATGAATGAGTTTTCTAAAACACATGACTACAGTGAGATGCACAATGAACTTACACAACATCATTCAGCTCAAGCCTGGTATCAGGAGATGGGTTAATCAGGATGTAGGACAGGGTGCTTTGGTGGTCATTCATTTCATCTGGAAGACACATAAAGTCAAGTTTGTTACACACAGAAAATTATAGGAATTATTGGAGATTACCTATGTTCAAAATCATGTAGCTGTCAACAAGCACTTGTTATAGTTTTGCCCACAGGATGAATGACTAAACAGCTTTGGCTTCTTTTTTTTAACTACTGTCATAGGAAGTAACCAACAAGTACCCATTTATGTTCCAATAGATGATACAAATAATGTACTTAATTCCATTCAGAGCAAACAATATAAAATCTAAGCTCTTTGATAATATATTGAAAAAATACTCTTGTGAAAGAAATGGCTAGATAAGATATTACCTTGATTTACCATGCTTTTAAAATTACTAAGAATACTAGTTAAAGAGAATCATCCCAGTAAAAGATACTCGCATAGTAAATTACTTGAAAACTTGTTTATTTACAAAGTGTGAAATAAATGTGTCTAAAATGCTTGAAGATCATAAAGATATTTGATTTCATTATACAATAAGCCTAATATACTTCATCTTATTTTTTTGTTTGTTTTGTTTTACTTTTTTGGAATGAAAAGAATCTATGGAGTAAAACTTAAATCATAACTTTCAGGGATGTAGATTAATAAATCACTTGTTGGTCTAAACATGATTTTTAAAGGAAAATCTGAACCATTTAGCTTTGATTAACTCTTTCTGAAAATAGCCCGGGCTGCAAGTCTGGAGGGCTACTGGCATCACCTAGGTGTCTAGTTTGGATCTGGTGTGAACGCATCCTGTGGGATCATGTGTTGGAAGCTTGGTCTTCACTGTGGTCATATTGAGAAATGGTGCATAAGAAATGGAGCCTAGGAAGATATTATTTGAAGCAGTAACTCAGAAGGGACTGAGGTAGTTTCTAGAATTAGTTCTCATGAAGGAAAACTGTTTCGAAAGCATAAACTTAGTTCCTTTTTATATTTTTGTTTTCTATTAGTATAGTTTCCAGCCTCGTGATTTCATATTGTATGAGCTTCCCCTTGAAGCAATGAGCCAAGGATGCTCTCCCAGTCCCCTGTCAGTGAGGTCATCAGTCTTGGACATTCTGCCTGCAAAATTGAGTTTAATATAATTGTCTTCTGTGTCATGTCATTAAGCTCAAGTATTTTGTAATCACAATGGAAAACAGACTAATATAAGAGAGTGTTACAAAAAAATCTCCAGGTCTCAGGGTTTTAGATTCCATGTTATAATAAGGTGTAAATGTAAAGCCATGTGGCCACATAGTTCAATAAGCATAATTCCTCCTGAGTGTAAAGTTTGAGCTTGGAAAGGCAACCTTTAAAATCCTGCTGTATGCCTGTAATACCCTTCAGCCACTTCAGTTGCAAATAAGCACGGTTCTTAAAAGACATACTAAATTTTTCAGTTTGGTCAAAAATCTAAAAATATATTTCTTAACAAGACACATATCAATATTTAAGTAACGGCACTAAAGATCTTAAAGTGCCAACAAAGCTGACCTTAATAAATAATTTCTGTACTGAAATATATATGTGTGTGTGTGTGTGTGTGTGTGTGTGTGTGTGTGTGTGTGTAATTTCTAAAGAATAATATCGAGCACTCTGTTCTTCTGACTAGCTTTTTACTTTAATGCAAAAGACCATATTTTCAGTTAAAGTATTTGAGGTTCATATACACATATATCTAAAAAACCTGTAAATGAAAGTCTTTATTTCATAAGGAATAAAAATGCAAGATAATTATATGTACTGTATGCTTGCTATAGTCATAATTTTACCAAATTAAGATTCAAATAAAAGAACGTATTTGGTTGCATAACTTTGCAGGCAGATGCACAAATAAGTATCCTGCCATAGGGGTAGGCAAAACAGAAAATTCTCATTGACAATTGAACAAAAAGCAGCAACAAACAATATTTCATCAATATGCCTCAGTTCTGTATGACATACTATTACTATAAAATTCATTAGTTATCTGAAATTCAAGCTTCACTAGGAGTCCAAAATTTTGATTTCCTAAATCTAACAGTTATGCCCAGGAAGAGAATTTTGACTAGCTGTAGTTGTAGTTCCAATTAGTGTATCAATAATGTTTATTCCAAATATTAAAATTTCAACCTAAGTCATATTGTAGCTACAGATAATTATCAGGATCATTTCTCTCCATGAAAAGCAATTTAGGTTTAGGTGTTCCTTTTTTCAGATGTTTTCCCCTTTTATAAATTTTCTCAGCTATTTGCAAGGGAACTGAGATTTTGATAGTGTGCTTTAGAAATTTTTAAGTTTGAAAGTAACTCGAAATACTATGAAAAATAATACCTCTCCTAGAAAAATCTTCATTTTATTTGGCTATATATAACTCAGCTTCTCATATGAGCCTTAACTCTAGGGAACTGCCACACAAGGAAAAAAATTTAACAGATAACTACTTAGTATTGATATCCATCCAACATTTCTCTTTAGTTATTAACAGGACTTTGTACTCATTTTTCATTCTGCAAGCAACCCAAAATCCAAGGGCAATCTTTTTATGTTGCAAACATAAAAATAATTGTCTAATGAACTAAGAATTTTCTAACAGTGTATGTAATTATTTTGTCAATATTTTGTTTTGCTTAATTGGGCTATTTCATTCATTTTTGAAAATATTAATTTTTTCTTTGGGCTGCAAGCAACTTGCTAATGTGCTCAATTTAATGTTCCATATGGTTTAAATCAAAACAGGAACAGCATCACAGTCAAAACTAATCATTCCTGGTTTCGCTCCTCACCCCTCACTGACTTCCTCGGAGAAGAGTAATGACTTAATGGTTTTCATTTAGATTAAAAGAAATTGCTAAATTCAAAACCATTTTCTCTTTCTCTTTCATGTTTGCCTCACCATAGACTTAATTTTACCCTGCTTATTCTTTGTCAGACTTTTTGAAGAAAGTTTGCAGAGGCCTACCTCACTCTTCATAACTTTGTATGGAAGAATTTAATGAGTGAATTTTTTTTTCAAGAGTCTATTGCAGTTATATATCAAAGCCATTTTCAAAAATAGTTTTACCGGCCTTGAATCTGATATTTTTGTTTCCATCAACACTTGGTATTTTTTTTTAATTTTTCTTATTTCTGTAGGAGGAAAACTATGTCTGCTGGATCGCTGGCCCTAACCAAATACTTAATACTGACAATGTCAAAGACACAATGTAATGAAATAAGGTCTTCATGAAAAACAGAATTCTACAATTACTAAATAAAATAAGTTTGCTGTAGTAAATTTGGCTACAACACCAGGAAGAACAGAATCAATGTTAATTTTTTCTGTCCATCAAAAATATCTATTAACAGAATCTCTTGTGAATATATTCATTGTACTTCTGATAACTAAACTGATTTGACAAACTAAAAAACACCATAAAGTTGAAATTACCATTTCAACATTGACATTATTATCTTGATAAAACATTTGGGAAAAAATGTACTATAACATTGCAAACCTTAAAATAAAAGTTATAAAGTACAAGAATTACAAATATTATAAAGAAGAAAATCATTTTGCTATATTAATTATCACATAATTTTTTCTGTTTTCTTATTTTAGGGAAGGGTCTGCAGGATGTTCAGGGTCTCACTACTAGATGGGACTCATAGTGATCTGCCTGTTTACAGCCTCCCAAGAGCTGGACGTACAGGCATGAATCACCACACCCTGTCTCAATTGCCATCTCAACATGCCCCGGGGGTGGGTCCACTTGGAAGGCACATGGGCCAACCCTCAGGCCCTGTGCCTGCTTGCAGGGACTTTAATCCTAATTTTTCAATTAAAATTTTTAAATAACATCAGATTGGAAGCAAATAGAATCACACTCATAATGTAAAACACATTCTTGACAAAATTATTGACTGAATCCTTCTCTAAAATATTTAATATCATTTTAAAATTGTATTTTCTTTGCAGCATATATTTTAAATAGAGTACAAATTAGAATTAAAACAGAAAAAATTACAAATGATGCAGAATATTTTTGTAGTTTACTATTTGAATGATATTTCCTTCAGGGACCAAATTATGCACTGCATTCTTATATTGAAGTCCTAACCAACAGGATAATTATGCTTAAAAATTAAATATTAAAGAGTAATTAAGATAAAATAGGATTATCAGTTCTGCACCCTAATCCAGAAAGACTAATTTCCTTATTACAAGAGGAGACACCAGGAGTACAGCTACTAAGAGAAAAGGCTGTGTAAGACACAGTGAGAAAAGGCAACAGTCTGTAGGACTACCTGACCCGACAGTGATGAAAAAAAATCTACACTATACATCATCTAGTTAGTAGTATTTTGTTATAGCATCCCTGGTGGATAAATCCATGTTCATTGTGGAATCCATAACTAGGAAAGTATTTCACATGCTCTGAAGGTGTGATTGAATGGGCCAGTGAAGAACCTAGAGCTTGAAATTGAGCTGCCGGAGTGCCTGCACTACAGTTCTAGTACCATGAAAGACTCACTGAGGGAATCCATGGAAGTTATTCAGCATCTGTTTCTCCCAGTGTGTTCAGATTCCTTGATTATAGCATGTGGACAGTAATGTTATCTCACAGATCATTGCTGGGATTTAATCATATATAAATAATTTAAACCAACACACGAACATTTCTATGTAGGTCTTAGGCTCAGTATGTAATTCATATCAGGTATTGCAAGGTTACCTATTTTACTGCAACAGCAACATTGAGTTATGCACAATAAAATCACACATTTACAAAATGTATGGATAGGCCGGGGAGATGGCTCAGTGGAACAAGTGTTTCTTTGGAAAGTGCAAGGGCCTGAGTTCAATCCCCAGTTCCGCCAAAAAGTAAATAAATAGATAAAAAATAAAATAAACAAACAAAATGTATGGATATAGATAGGCACATAGCTATGAAAGTGCTGTAATGCAAAGTCAGAGAAGCAATGTTCCAAAACTCACTGAACAGAAACTGAAAAAGCCCCAGATAGTCCCATTTCAATTATAAAAATTAGGTACTAGAAAT